AAAAAAAAAAAAAAAAGACACAGAGCTTACCTTCTTCCCCGGCGAGCTCACCTACCATCGCCGACCTCCGAGCAGGCCAACCGCGAGCTCTCCTCACCAGCAGCAGGCTCGTCACAGCAGCTCCAGTCCTTTCCGCTCGCAGGCCAAAGAAGTCCGCCATAGCCGTAGAACTCGAGACCGCTGGCAAGCCTCCACCCCTTTACGTGCTTCCGGCAGCAGTTCGAAGAAGAACGATGCCCGTTTTGCGTTATCAAGCTTCCCTCAGTCCGTCTGAAGGAGTCCGACCAGCCATTAGTAAGAAACAGTCGTTCATCGGGTTCTAAAGCCGTTTTTCCGACCCGCTGTTGGGCCTGTTTCCCGTTTGATAGCTCGTAGTTTCCTGAAGTCGGGTAACTTATTTGAATCCCCTCATTATTACGATCGATTTCACATATCACATGTTATATATATGTTGTGTTCGGTCTACCGAAAGTTGAATTGAAGTCGGATTTCTTTTAGTTCATTTAATTGTTGTGTGTATATTTTGTTTATTCGTGGATTTTCGGAGGTGATTGGAACTCTCGATTGCAAAAAAATGAGTACCGTTATGTTGCTGGGATAAAACCGTATTAGTTCAGAGTCTCGTTTTGTCGTTTTGGAGTCTCGTTGTATTATTTCGAGTCTTGAATGTCTTTTCGTTTATGTGGACAGAAACCCAACTTTATAAACATTTTAAATTCTGGGATTTGTATTAAATTTGTAAAGTTTGTAATTTCCCAAACCGGGTCGATGTTGGAAATGTCGTGATCGAGTACCGTGAAATTTCGTTCAGCCTGTTCGCGATTTTGCAACTTCTGTAAAAATTTTCATTGCTCTGTTTTTTGTCCCAGCTAGGTTCTGCTCGCAGGTCCCTGTTTCACTTTTAGTAATTTATGATGTCAATTTAAATCACAAGCAAGCCTGTAGTGCAGTGGTCTTCTATGCTATTTCCGTGATAGAGGTACGGGGTTCTAACCCCAGCCTCGCGTTAAAAGCCTTTTTATTTTCTTTGGGTCTTCCAGCATGCGGGCTGTGAAGCCCGCTAGCGGCCCGCGCTCGGCCCGATAAGCTTCCCCATCAGTCTCAGCCTGTGAAGCCCGCGCCCCGGCCCGCGAGGCCCGACCCCAGCACCCTCCTCAGGCTTAAAATCTTGGCCCAGTTTCCTTAGATGCGGCCCAAACCCGCATAAGGCCCAACTGTTTGGCCATCTTTGGGCCAGCTTGTTAGCAGTCCGGCCCAATTGCCCTTTTTACCCTATTCTGTGTTCTGGAGCCCTTTTTAATACCGATTTCGATTTTAAAAATATTTACAAAATGAGAAAAATTTGGAAAAAAATTATTTGAAGTCCTGAGACTCCAAATTAATTTTCCGAGTCCTATTTTGTAAAAATGAGAGAGTTCCAAGTCCACGAAAAATTCGATTAAAACTCTTAAGTCTTAATTTTTATTAAGTATGAGTTTTATGATAAATTCGAATAGTGAGATAGTTTATTAATAAATAATCTCACTTAAATGTAGGTGTTTGAGGAGTCGAGCCTCATCCTACGTACTTGATTTTGTGTGCCTTTCTACCGATTTACCAGGTGGGTTTACTTATAAAATTGTCTATGCCATACGTGGTGTTTATTGTTTAGTTGGTATGGCCAATGTATGAATATGAACCATGTAGCCTATCGATGTGAGCTGTTACAGCCGTCCGTACGGTTGCCCTTGCGAGGCAAGTCTCCTTAAGACCTAATGAAAGGCCGTGTCCGTTACAGTGGCACGCACTCCCGTCGTTAGGGTTTATGCATCCTCTTTCCGCGGCTAATGATAGATGTGCACATGAGTGAGTTATTGTTATGATTGTTAGGAGATGAGACATGATGATTGATTTATATTCATGCTGCGAACATACCATCTTTACATGTTATTATGTGCATAGTAGTGAGCACTACTTTATCATTTTTGCTCATTCCCACCTGCTCTTCACGGATGCAGGTTAAGCAGTGGCCGGGTGACGGGACGAAGGACGGTGGTGGTCTATTATTTGTTTTATTTTGCTTCCGCTTTAATTATATGGTCGTTATGAACCTTTCTATGTTTTGGGCATGTGAAAACTGTTTTCGAACTATGTTTTGATGTTTGAAAATATTTTGGAAAACCCTTTTGAAACCTTGAATAATCATGGTGTTTGATTTATGAAGTTTCAATTGTTCATATGGAATA